ACCTAGGGCTGCATGCATGGAGTCTTCTGAGGGTGAGGACCCTTCCCACCTCCACCTGTACCGGGTGTGCAACAGCACAGAGAGACTCACTGCTTGCAGGTCAGCCTAGCACATCCCAAGGGAGAGGCCTCTATAGGGAGAAATCACTGTTGATGGTGGACTGCCAGTGTCTCCAGAAAGTAACAGTAATTCCACATTCTCTTGATTCTGGTGGGTTAAAAAAATGGTCAGATCTCAGCACTTCCCTTTGATTCAACTTAATGGTGTACTGGTACCATCTTTAGCTCTCATAGCAACCTCACCAAGCAGGCATTTTTTAAATCCACTTTGGAAGAGATCACCAAAGCTCAGAGAGGGTGAGTAACTTTCCGAAGGTCACAGAGCTAGTGAATGAGGAGCCAGGACTGGGACCCAGCCCCATTTGGCCTCCTTGTCCCTGTTTTAACCACTGCAAAGAACCCCTACCCAAGCCACCTGAAAATGGACTTTGGGATCAATCCTAGCACTCCTTTGTGAAGAAAAGAAAGTGTTTCAGTATCTTTTTAGGAGAGGAGTGAGGGGTCAGAGGAGGAAGGGAAAGAGATCAGCCCTGAAACCACAGGAGTCCCTCTCAGGAGGGTCTCCCGGTAACTGTGGTGTTAGGAACTTCACTTCACTCCCGTTTAGTTCTATGGAGCTGCACAGTTCTGAGTCCCAAGGTCCCGAGTTCATCCTACAGGAATACATACTCAGCATTTTCCATGAAAGACCTGAACGTACCCAGTGGCATGCCAGTACCAACTGCTAACCTGCTGCTGTGTACTTGGGCCTGGCCAGGCCCGCCCCTCCCAGTCCAGGCCTCCCTCTCCGGGCTGCCCCACCTCCCAGGTCAGAGCCGACCTAAGAGCACCAAGCTGAAACGTGCCGCTCAGAGGTGAGTGTGGGCATCTGACTCAGTTCAAGGACACAGTGCAGAGTCTTCTCCTGGGGCCCTGGTCTCTGAAAGAGAAGTGGACAGGAAGCCTTGGAAATGACAGCATCTTTGGTGCTGGTGTCCGTCTCATCACCATCTTCCTTCACAGCTGCCAACACTCAGGGCCTTGCCAGTGCCTGGCAGTTAGCAGATGCTCAATAAATATTTGAAGAAAGAATTCATGAATGGGTGGCGGCATAGCTTAGCGCGTGGGGAAAAGTTTACATTTGTGAACCTTTTTTTTTTCAAATGGACATATTGAGGATTGAACCCAAGACCTTGTGCCTGCAAAGCATGCACTCTACCGCTGAGCTATACTCTCCCCCATGAACCTTTGAGGGATGAATTAATCAAGCCCAGGGAACTGTTGATGTCCACTTTAACCCTCAACCCTTCCTCTTTCACTTTCTCTCCTGAACTTCTAGTGCTTTCATCATACTTATTCTGTCTCCTATTTAGGCAGACTTTTATTTAATAATAGACTTCATTTTTTGGAATGACTTTAGATTTACAGAAAAATTGAGAAGATAGCACAGAGAGTTCCCATACAACCCCTCACCTGCTTTCCTCCATTAACATCTTATGTTAGTGTGGGATGTTTGTTATAATTAGTGAACCAACATTGATCCATTATTGTTAGCTAAATTCCACACTTTATTCCTACTTCCTCAGTTTGTATCTACTGTCTTTTTCCGCTCCAGGATTGCGTTCAGGACAGCACGTTATATTTAGTTGTCATGCCTCTTTAGGCTTCTCTTGGCTAATAGTTTCTCAGACTTCCCTTGTTTTTGATGCCCTTGACATTTCTTGAGGAGTACTGGTCAAATATTTTACAGGACGTCCCTCTAGTGGAATATGCAACATTTGTCTCATGATTTAGACTGAAGTCGTGGGTTTGGGGAGGAAGATCATAGAAGTAAAGTACCATTCTCATCATATCAAGGGTTCATACTATCAGTATGAATGATCACTGGTGACGATGACCTTGGTCACATGACTGAGGTACTGTTCGCCAAGTTTCTCCATCACAACCTTACTCTTTTCCACCTCCCACACTTTCCAGACTGCTCTTTGGAATCGATTTGTGATATGCATCCCTCACTTTGGAGTAGGGAGTTATGCTCCTCCCAGATAGTTCCTAAGTATTTAGGGACTGAACATTTGAACAGACGTTGCCAGCCCTTATCTTTCCCTTCTTAGGTTGAAGTTAGGACATATTGAAGTTAGGAAGCAAGGCCAAGCTGTGAGTTCCTAGAGAGACAGGATCTTGCTCTGTTGGCCCCAGTACAGCTCCTTTCATAGTGCAGGTCACCTCTTAAGATGCTTAGTAAATACCTGCTGAACTGAATTAAATAACTACCACCACCAAAAAAAAAAAAAGCCCCACAGAAGGGTCCACTGGTTGCTCAGACCTCTCTTAAGGATCACCAAGTCCAAGCAGTGGATCTTCATTCCTCCCTGCACCAAGGTGGTGAGGCAGGGTCTGACTCACCAGCAAGGCTCCAAAGACAAACCCAAGTGCAGACAGTGAGACCAGCGCCATTGGTCACGTGGTCTGCACATAGCGTCTCGTGGGTCACAGGTCTTGTCTTTCTTGTGATTTGCAATTACTTTTTGAGCATCCACAGTGTGTCTGGCGCTCTGGGGTCACAGTGATGATGAAATACTTGAAGCAAAATCTAGATGTAATATATTAGTTTCTATTGCTGCAGTAATAAAATGCTGTTTACTATCTCATGGTTTCCATGGGTCAGAAGTCCAGGCACAGTGTCTTGGCTAGGTTCTCTGCTTAGGGTCTCACAGGACCAAAATCAGGGCTGGGTTCCTTTCTAGAGACACTGGGGCAGAATCCGTTTGCAAGCTCGTTCAGGCTTGGGTAGAATTCAGTTCCTTGTGGTTGTAGAACTGGGTCCCATTTCCTTGCTGGGAGTCAGCTGGGGGTCACACTTTGCTCCTAGTGTCAGTGCCTGCATTCCCTCTCAAGTCACCAAGTGGATCCACTGCCTTCAAGCAACAGTGCATCAGGTCCTTCTCAGGTTCCAATCCCTCTGGCTTCCTCTTCTCCCCCATCCCTTCTGAATTCATCTTCCACCTCTAATTTTAAAGGCTCCTGTGATTACATTGGGCCTACCCGGATAATCCAAAGTAATCACCCTCTTTTAAGGTCATCTAGTTAGTGACCTTCATTACTCCCACCAAGTCCCTTTTGCCCTGAAAGAGAATCTACTCACAGGTTTGGTATCTCATGACATTGACAGTCCCAGGGATTAGAGCCTGCAATCTTCTAGGGACCATAATTCTGCCTACCACACAGGGCACCTCCAGCACTAGTATGCCTGGGAGTCACCTGTAGAGCGTGTTAATGTGGATTCTGATTCAGTGGGCCTAGGGTGAGAGTCTGCATTTCTTGCAAGCCCCCAGGAGATACTGCTGCCTCTGGTCAATGGAAGCACATTTGTGTGGCATGGCTTGAGACCAGAGGAAACAAATTTACAGCCCCTAGCCCAAGACAGAATTTCAGTACATGAAACTTGTGGTTCTCAAACCTAAGGGAGCATCAGTATCACCAGAAGACTTGGTAGAATATTGATTGCTGGGCCCCACCCCCATCGTTTCTGAGTCAGAAGATCTGGGACAGGGCCTGAGGGTGTGCATTTCTAACAAGCTCCCAGGGAATGCTGATGCCACTGTTCTGGGGACCACACTTTGAAAACCACTACCTGGAGCCATGAGACAGTCACTCACTCTGTGTGTTAAGTGAGAGGAGCTTGTAACACCTTTTGGTCATAAGGCAGCATCTTTGAAAGTGGAATCCCTTCTGTCCAATATGGTTACATCCCACTAGGCACCTCTATGGATCCTGTCTGAGGTAACATGGCGCCTTCTAGGATCTCATCCACTTTAATCAAAGGGTTGGATTTTCTTTTCCTCTGTTGAGCTGTCATCCTCTTTCAGGAACACAGTGAAGTAGATTCCAGAATAGCTTGAACTGCTGACATCAGTAGTAGTCCCAAACCTATCTTTTAAAATCGAAAATAACATTTATTGTTTTTATTACCAAATCAACACTTGTTTGTTGTAGAAACTATGGATTAAAAAGAAAAGAGAAAACATCATAATCCCACCCAGAGGTAGCTACTCTATTTTTCCAGATCTTTTGCTATACATATCTGTCAACTCAAATATATATGTAGGGTTTTATTTCCAAATAAAACAAACTGTGTTATAGCCTACTTTTCTTAATATATTTTAAATGCCTATCTATCTAACCACTGTTTTAGCCCCTCATTTCAACCGCCTTTACCCACTCAAAAGCATCCAAATGCTGTGAGTCCTGGCTGCCCTCCTGCACACCTGCAGTTGGAGGGAGATTAATGAACAGCGTGGGCCCCAACAGGAAAGGAGGAAAAAACGTGAAGGACGGAGGTCAATCAGAATCAGGCTCCCTGAGCAATTGGGGCAGCTGTAGTTTTGCATTGCAGAACTGTCCTCCCACACACACGCACACTTTTTTTTGGAGAAAGTGATTCAGCTGAGTACTCCTGGATCCGGAAATGCCTCAGCACCAGAATCAAATTCGGAAGAAAACCGAATCAGGAGCGTTTGTGTCTTTGTAATGAAGGGCACTGGCACAGGCCGAAAAGGGCTTCCTGCTGCTATTTTCAGGATAATTAGCTGCTTCTAGAATTTTGGAACATTAATAAAGGTGTGTTTGGGGTAAAAATTTATTTTCCACTCTATGAGTCACAAAATTTTTTTTCCAATGGATAGTGAAGAAGTGATTGAAGCAAGAGAGAAGGATTTAATTACACCTTAAACTTCCACCAATGAACCCACTAGAAAGAGACTGGACAAAAAGAGAAAGTAAATCCAGGGCCTGCTGGGCAAAGTGAACGTGTGATGTCCAGGGAATTGCTCTTGGAACCTGCAGTAAGGCTGTGGGTTCCTCTCACCTGGGGGTGGGGAGAGGGGTGGATCTGTTCTCACAAAATGGCTTGGATAAGGTCGTGCACAGCCCCCAGCAAGGTGAGCTGTTCTTTTTCCACAGAACGAAGTGATCAGCCAGCAACTGTGTGTCATCTTCACTCACTGCTATGGGCCCTACCCGATCCCCAAGCTCACAGAGATCAAACGGAAACAGACCTCGCGCCTGGGTAAGTGAGTGCTTCCCGGGCTCTGCCCTGCGTGCGCTTCACTGATGCTTTGTGACTTGAGGACAGGGAGGAAGCAAACACCATAAAAGAAGGTAGGAGTGTTGGGGGGCAAACAGGTGGATACATGAGTTAGGCAAGTGGAGATTAGGATATCACCTTTGTTATGTGATTACACTATTTGGAGAACATACCTTGGGGATGCGGACAAGGAGACTTGACGATACCTTGTCCCTCCAATTGATCCCCTTTCTCCCCTAGTCACAGACAGTGACAGACCTCCCAGGCCTCCCGAGCCCACGCACTTCCGGCAACCAGGTAGAGTCCCAAAGAAGCTGCTCTGTGCCTGTCTGCTCTTCCCAGTCTCACCTCTAAAAAGCCCCTCCTCCCTGAGATGGAACATGCAGGGGACAGTGACAGGCCAGAAGCGTCCCCCTAATGGAAGTCCTTATGCAGGGAACTGGGAGGAGAGACGAGCAAGTGTTACCCCCTCCCCACACCATGTACACACACACCACGCACACTCATGCTCATGAGGGCTCCGTACCTGAGTGAGGAGACTGAACACCCTAAAATCCCGTCGGAGTAGCAGTCATCACTTTTCACTCTGCTTGGACACTTGCATTGAACGGGCTCCAGCCAAGCCCCTGACCTACCCTCTCTCAAGTAATCCCTGGGCCACTGCAGGAGGCAGGCAGTGTCAACCTGAGTCACGGCTGCAGACAGGGAGGCTCTGCAGAGGCTGCAGCATGAGTTCAGCTGGAACTGGAGGTTGAACCCAGTTTCCCCCCAAGCCGTAACCCCATCATGCTCCAGTCCTGACTGCTGGGATTTTCCAGAAGAAAACGTTCCATCAGGCACTGATTTCATTCGGAGAATCCTGGGTCCACTTGTAACATGGTTGATCAGCCTGAAACAGAGCTCTTCTGTGGCAAGGGCCTGTCTTCTTGCTGCATGGGGAGTTATAAAATATTAAAGTTAAAGGATTCACTTTCCGATGAAGGTTGGGGACTGTCCTACTTCCTGTTTCGTTTTCCTATCAAGGCTGGGAAACATTGGAGAAATGGAAGCATCTGCAAAACTCTTATCCTTTAGCAAAACCCCTACTTTTGAGACAGACTAGCTAGTTTAAATTAGTGAAAAGCCTGAATTTATGAAACAGTTTTAAACTATTTTTATTCCTTTCATGAATAATGTGTTAATTTAAGTGCTACAACTTTTTTGCTAAAGTGAGAAATTTAGCAGAGTCAAAGGCTGGCTGGTTTTCTTTATGCCCATTCATGTGGGAAACCAGGATGTACTGTAAAATAGCAAGCAGTTATACCTTTAGAAAACAGATATTAACTACAATACTATCAGGGCAACAAATTATAAAGACTGATCAAATTAACAGATTTGGAGATTGAAGGTTTCATTCCCAAGACATGGCAATAATCTCTGACGTCTGGTGTCTTACAAGACATCCTTGTTAGAGTAAACATTTGCCAGGGCTGTTTCAATGATGCAGCATAAAATCTGCTTTCCTCCAGCTGTAGGAGAGGAGGGTACATTTTTTTCCACCTGAATTTGCTGAGATTTTTTGATCACCAATTAAAAGGGCCTGGTTTCCTGGCCAAGCACTGGAATTCTGAGTTAGCACCAAGAGAAGAAAGGCAGACCTGAGAGGCTCATAACTCACAATATGAAAGAAAAGGGGTATATTATAGTTATTAATAAGTGAAATAGAGAGCACAGAGTGCATCTTCAATACATTTCAAGCTGGGATAATGTAAAGATTGCCAAATAGTAGTTCTTTAGGGGCCTGCTTTAAAGGAAAGAGTGAGTAGTGGCAAAGATCCCAAACTGGCATCTCTGTAGGACCAGTCAGGTCATATAAATGAATGAAATGAGTTTGGTGTAATACAGTAGGGAGTGGTGGGGACTATGGCAAACTGGAGAGCATATGCCTGATTAAATTTTATAGTACATTGTCCTCTTTCCCTTCCAATGAATTATAGGAGAGAACAGTAAGAAGAGCTAAAGGTAGGAGATATTAGCCATTTAGGAAGTGATGGGGTTAGGGGGGTAAGTGCTACTTGGAAGTGGACAGTGGGAGTGAGAAAGCCTGCACAGAGGGAAGCAGGTTATCGAGAAGAGGGAGAAAATCACTCCAAACTGTTAATGGTCTTTAAAGCAAGTAGAGAAGTGAGTGTTAGTCAGCTCTGGGGCCTTCCCCTCTAGCCTGTTTTCCCTTTACCTGGATAGTCTTAGAAATTTGTTTTTTGTCTTTTTTTTCATTTTTCAGTTTTATTAGGTAGAATTGTTACAGTTTGCACATATACAATGTCATATATTTTAATAAAAATTTTAAAGATAATGGGATTACAGGTGATTTGGACTTTTTATGCTTTTTGGATATGTTTTAGATTAAAACATTTTTAATGGGAATGGGTGAGGTGGGTCTGTGTACTGACAGAGAAATATGAGTTGAGGACCCCCAGGACCACCAGCTGGGGCGACACAGAGGCTGAGTGAGGACAGTCAGCCGGGAAGGCAAATTCTGGGTCAAAATTACAGCAGGGGCTGGACAAAATGGGGCCAGGCCAGGGATCTGACTTAGAAACCAAGTGGGGTGGAGCCAGGTAGGGGTAGGAGTGTTGCACAGGGTGTTGGTGGATTTTCCCAAGACGGAAGTGCTGAGCTGAGGACTGGCACCTCCTGTAGCCCCAGGAAAAATGGCTAAAATGGCAGGCAAATTGGAGGATCCTAGTGCTGAATGAACGACTCAGGCCCTTGAGTCAGAATGTCCAAGTGCACACCGTGCCTGCTCCAGCTGCACTAGTCTGACCGAGTCACTGTAACTTCTGGGCTTCAGTTTCCCCAGCTGCACACCTGACAGCGGTCCTGCTCTCCCAGGACTGAATGAGTTTACACATGTTAGTGCCAGCTTGCACAGTGCCTGGCGTGTTGTGAGTGCTCAGTGAGTACTAGAGGACTAGTTGTACAGCTTCTTTGTTAGTCTTGGAGATGAGGCCAGGCGAGCAGCTCATTTGCCTCTAACCCTGAGAGAAGGGCTTGGGTTTGGAATCACCTGGAACACAGCAGCAAGGAGGCAGCCCTTCAGAACCACCTCCATCAGGCAGGGAGGGCGTAGAGCTGGAGGAGGAGGAGCGAAGCGGGGATGTGTGACCCTCCTAGAGGCCCGATGGGTGGATGTTCACCTTCCACAACTGATAGCCATCTGAACTCAGGCCATGGGCGAGTCTTCTAAGGGGAGATGCTACATTTAATCACAAATAAGCTATGAAGATTCCCTATGAAAAATCGAATTTGAGTGATGCATTCCTTTGATTGATTCTGTCTCCTGTTTGGTCAGTGTCTCTCCACTATGTTATTGCCATGGCTTCCCTGTCAGCTCTTCTGGGCATTTTCCAAAAGAGGAATCCAAACCTCACCCTTCTCTCCACTAAAGCTGCCCTCTCTCCCTTTCCTGTTCCAGATCCTCATTTCCTTAACAATAAAGAAATGTCAGATGTTACCTTTCTGGTAGAAGGAAGACCATTTTATGCTCACAAAGTGCTGTTATTTACAGCCTCTCCAAGGTATGTGTCATCAATTTTGAAAGCACTGAATTATGAGGGTGGTTATTGCTCTTACTGTTCTCTGAAATTCAATTTTGGTGGTATCATCACAGAACTGGCAGATTATCTTCTCAAAATCAAAAACTGGAGAGTACAGGACATTTGTGCACCTGCGTTCAGGCAGCATGATTCTCAGAGACAAAAGATGGAAGTCATCAAGGAGTCCATCAGTGGAGGAATGGATAAAAAAAAAATGGAGTGTTTTCAGCCCTAAAAAGGAAGGCAGTTCCAACATATGCTGCAACATAAATGAACCTGGGGACTTTATATGCAATGAAATACCCCTGTCACAAAAAGATAAATAATGCATGATTCCCATTTATATGAACCTAGAGTCATCGACTCTAGAAGGTGGTTGCAGGGCTGGAGGAGGGGGAATGAGAAGTTGTTGTTTAATGGGGACGGGGGAGTCCTAGAGACAGGTTGCACAATGATGTGAATATACTTCTCATAAACATTACACTTAAAAATGATTAAGACAGGAAATTTTATGTTACGTGTTTTCTAATCACAATTTGAAAAAAAAAGAGTACAGGGCAAACACTAGCATAATCAGCAGCTTTTGTGGGGCTTAGACAAGCCATCATTCCTCTGGACAGATGGAGTGTGTACCAGGCATGGAGCTTCGTGAGCAGAGCGTGGGTTGGAGTGTAGCTCCCTCAGCCAGGTGTCCTTGTGCACCCTGACAGCTCATACACTGCAGCCTTCAAAGTCCTACTCTCCAAATATCAGGGAACTTTGGTGTAAGCCACTTGAAATACACAGGTCCTGAACTTTATGTTTCCCTAACCTGGAGCTGACAACAGTATAATACCATCCCTGCGAGCTCTGCTATGGCCCTTCCTCCTCCCTTCTACTTGCATTGAGATGAAGTTGACCATTTAGAACCACATTATTCAAGGACCTGAACAGGAATAGACGAAGCTGGGCAGAGGAGTTATGCTGAAGTGAGCAGGAGGCAGACTGTAGAGGGTAGGGACTCTGGGATCCAGAAACAGAGCCCACTTCCAGCTTGCTTATGAATGTGTGTGGCCAACACTCCCTGGTTCCTAAAAGCATCCTAGCATCTCCAGTATCCCCCCAAAACCAAATACCCTGTGTCTGCTTTGCCACCACAAGAAAAATACGTTGTCCTTTCCATGGTTCTCATAGAAACCATAGAAAAACCATAGAAAAACCAGATCAATATAGTACCAATGTTAATTTCCTCGTTTCAGAAAGGTACCATGGCTGTGTAGATTGTTAACACTGGGGGAAGCTGGGGGAAGGGCATACTGGAACTCTTTGCACTATCTTTGCAATTCTTTTATAAATCTAAAATTATTTCAAACTTTAAGTATAATTTTTAAAAAGAGGCACATCTTGGCTTATTCCTAAATGTATTGAGTATCAGTATATTGCGCTGACTGGGTCTTTACCCACAAGGAGCTTGGCTTAGTCAGTGGCAGGAATATGCATCTAAAACCCTAGACAGAAGGTCACCTGTGGGGAGATCGTTAGGTAGTCAACAGATGTTGATTAGATACCTGTGATGCATCAGGTCCAGCCTGGTGCAGGCTCTGAGGATGCAGCAGAGACAGAAAGGCAGAAGTCCCCGTCCTCTTGGAGCAAAGGGTGTGTGGGAGGTGGGAAGAGGGAGTTGGTAAGCTCGGTGGACACCAGAGGAGCTTGAAGCCTGAGGTCAAGAAGGACTCCTTAAAGGAGGAAGCCTTTGTGATGGGCCCTGCAAGGTGGACAGGGTTTTAAAAGGCATTTGTTCTTCTCCAATCACCTGTTTGAGAAATAATTTAACAGTTCCAAAAGCTGTTTTTAACTTTAGAGTTTTAACTTTAAATTGGATTTGGTAAATTGGTATCATATCAGAGAAGGGGCATTAAATTAAGAAACTTATGGATATGTCATTGTGTTTCCAAGTGAGGGAGATACAAGATATTCCATGTTTCTGTCACCCGAGAGCTGAGTTTCTTGCAAGCTGTGGATGTGTTGGTGAGTCTTCTTAGCTCTTTTGCATTCTTGTTCAGGTTCAAAGCACTCCTCTCCAGCAAACCAACAAATGACAGCACCTGCATAGAGATTGGATACGTGAAGTACCCCATCTTCCAGGTGAGCCCCTGCTGTGGCCTGGAGCCCTACTGGTGGGTGCAGAGCACTGGTGGGTCCCACACTGGTGTGTGTCAGCCACTGCACTGAGTCATCCTCAGTCTCTGGCACTCTTGACCCTCGTCTTCACAGTGCCCCTCCCATTTACCATCCATTCATGCCCACAGCATTAATTGAGCACCTACTATGTACCTGACACTCTGCTGGGCCCTGGGAACACAGGGATAAAGGACATTCCTGTCCTGGAGACTCACAGCCTGGAGGAGATAACTCTGATCAATTTCGGTATAAAGTGGGGTGCATGTGAGAGAGGGGTGAACCAACATGCTATGGCAGCTCAGACTGGGGAGACTGAGGAGGGCCCTTAGATGGAGTGTTAGCTGAAATACTGAAGGTTGGGGAGAAGCTGGCCAACCATAGGGAAGCTTAAGGCTTAAGAAAGGGGTTAGAACATTCCAGGCAGAGAACAGCAGGTATGAAGTCCCCAAATGTGGTTGAACCCATGTGATCAGGAACCAGTGGACTTTAAGGAATCCAGTGTCATTTTAACATTGGTCTGAACCTCACGTACATAAATAGGAGAGGAAGGTTTGTCAAAGGCCAGATGATGTTAACATGTCTCCCTCTGTTTGGGGGAAGTTGATACCGTCCATGGATTCGGTTTGTGGGGCACCTCTGAGAGGGCACAGCAACTGTCTTACATTTTCCTCCTTCCTTCATGCCTGATTCATAAATCCTGCCCCACAATGACATTCTTGCAGCTGATAGAAATTCACACCCCAGCCAGCTTTGCAGCCCTATTTCTGGAGCTCCGAGTGTCATCTGGGCATGAAGTCTGGTGGGCTGCTTGCATCACAAGGTGGGTGGGCGATTGTTGGGAGATTTTGGTCCCTCCATGCTGTCCTCCCAGAGCCAATGTGGATGACCTGGGGATGGAAGTTAGAGAGGTCTGAACAGGACCTGTTCCCTCCAGTTCAGTTCTGGAAGGACAGCCTTAGGAAGAAAACACAAGTGGGGAAGACTCAGGCTGGCCCTCTAGAGACTCACGTTCCAGGAGGGTTGGTGAGACAACTCAGAGATAAGCCAGAGGCAAAGATGGCTATGACCAGGGTCATGGGACCGGGGTCCTGATCTGGGCTCTGAAGGACAGAGCTGCATTTCAGGATTTAAATGCTGCATTCCCCAGTTTAAAATCATTGTCCCTCATATGACCTTGAACAAATTGCCCAGCCTTTCTGAGCCTTAGTTTCCTCATCTGGTGAGTAGGAAAGAGAAAGTATTCCAGAGGAAGGAACAGCATAAACAAAGGCACAAAAATGGGAAGTTGAGGGAAAGTGATTATAGTCCATTTGGCTGTGTCTTAAGTTATATTAGAGACTGAAAAGATGCATTGGAACCATGTAGTATAAGCCAAGTGTGGCAAGCCAGATGATGGTTCTTCCTTCCACTATTGACCCTGGTCCCCCAGATCCTGCTGTTCAGAGGGCGGCCAGGAAGCCACCATGCCCCCACACTAAAGCCCTAAAACCCATTGAGGTACCTCTATTTCCACCATTAGAGATGCATTCCTTTGGTTATCCTTCAAAATAAAGAATCCTTCTCAAATAACCATGGGCAAGACTCTTCTCTGAGCCTCATTTTCCTCATTTTAAAAAGGTCATCATTATCATAATCATAAACTAAAAGTTAATCATTCCTGATCACATGAGTTCTTGCCAAGATTAGCAAGTAAGACAATATGAGGAAATGATTGACTTGGCAGTTTTTAAGTAGGTTGTTATTTTTCAATACCATAACTGATAAACCACCTCCCTCCTAAGCACAATACCCCAGGAAATTGGTTACTTTTGACTAAGCAATAGGGAAAGGCTGAAGAGGTTTCCAAGGACAAGGCCCACTGGGATAGAGGTAGCAGAGAGGAGGCTAGAACCCCAAGGTGGGCTGGGGAATCAGCACACCCCCAGACACCCAAGTGCCTATTTCCCTCTTTTCTCAGCCCCTCCCCACATTTTCTACTGAGAGCAAATTGGCCACAGCTCTGTCCACAATGGTGATGGCTTTGACTCGGAAAGTTTCCATGGAGCTGCTGTTGTACTTTAGGGTTAGGGGTGGGGAGGGCAGTGAAGAAACCTTTATGAGACTCCAACAATGAATGAGGCACTGAGCTTTGCTTGCATGTAGTTATCTGGATTATTCTTGCCACTTTCAGAGATGGAGAAACGGAGGGCCGGAGAACTTATCCTTGATGCTAGGCAGTGACAGACTCAGGATTTGAACCCAGTCTGTCTGGTGCCAAAGCCAAGGTACTTGGTTCTGGAACATCCATTCTAAAGCAGGAGAGTGATGAGGGCAGCTCTCGTTTCTTGTGCGCTATGTGTAAGGCTCAAACAGTGGTTCTCAGCCTCAGCTGCGCAGTGGAGTCAGCTGGGAGGCTTTGGAAATTCCCAATGTCCAGGCTATAAATCAGAATCTGGGCTGCGGCCCAGACATCAGTATTTTGAATTCTCTTCCCTCTGCCATCACCAGTGTGCAGCCTAGGTGGAGAACCAGTGCTCTAAGTTACTGCGGTTCTTGGACCTTGGTAGGCATTGGAATCTCTGGTGGACCTGGTGGTGGGGTAGAGGGAGTTGCTTGTTAAGACACAGAAAACTTGCTTAAAGTGCAGATCCTGGGCCCCACTCCCAGAGTTCCTAATTCTGTAGGCCTGGGGTGGGGCCCAAGAATTCATAGTTCTTACTGGAACCCAGGTGATGCTGATGCCGCTGGTCCAGGGACCCCACTCTGAGAACCATTGCCTGCATCATCTCATTCAGTCCTCCCAGCTGCCCCTCCAGGTAGCTCTTCTCCCAGCCTACAGACAGGGCACAGCCTCAGAGAGGTGGAAGGAGGAACCTGAGCTCCCACTGCCCATCACAGCTAACCTGAGCGTCAGACCCAGGCATGGCTGATTCCCAGATCTGATCTCTTAACTGCCTCCCGGCTGTGGGGCCTTGGATCCTCCCTAAAAATCACCCAGCCCTGAGGAAAGAAACTCAGGCCCGTTAGAGTTTGGAGCAGAAGGTAGATGCTGGAAACTGCCCACCCCCATCTCTCAGTGCTCATGGAGGGGAAGCTTAAGCCATCAAACCTGGGACTAATTGGGGGAGGGTACCTGTAATCAGAGCCCTGTTTGTAGTAAGCACTCAATAAATGTTTGCTGTAAGGACTCATTGAGTGAGAGACCTACCTGGGAAAGCTCGGCCCCAGAGAAATCGGAGGCCTGTAATTGCTTTGACTGGGGAAGGCTTCCCAGCCACATTAGCCTCAAGTTACTGTAATAGGCAGGGAAGATTTAGCAGGCCCCGAGGACTTTTCCATGCGCCTGCCCCTTCCCCATAAAAAGAAGAAAAGCCTCATTTGTGGCTCAAAATAAGCCAAGTAGGGCTGAATCTGACCCAGAAGCAGGCTCCCAGGGGCCTGTTCACTTCACTTCCATGCTGACAGAAGAATTTTAGTAAATGAGATGGCTTTGAGTTTCCTCCCTGCAAGACTGTTTAACATCACACGCGGGCAAGAGCCCCATGCAGCTGAAGCTGCACCTGGAAGCGGGGCCTCCATGAGGCTGTGTACACCGTTTAAATCCTACTTCATGCGGGTTGGCAGCTGCCAAGAAAAATAACTCCAGAAACAGTCCCTTTGGCCTAATAAGGGTCCATTTCACCCCCTTGCAGAAAAGGCTTGTGCTGGCTGAGTCTGAAGGTGGCACAAGACAGCCCAATTTAAATTCCATTAGCCCCAGGATCTCCATCTACTAAAAAGCAACATTTCGAGTCAGCAGCCCAACCCTGAAGAAATGAGATATCATGATGGAGAAGCGCTTTGTAACTGGAGAGGCCCTGTGTTTGAGGCAGTTATTATTATAGCTCTTACCATTACTATTATTGCTTTTATTAAAGAGAGGTGCTAGGGGAATAAATTGATTTTAATAAAGCCAATATCCCAACATTTGCCAACATGGCGTTTTAGATGCTTATGACCCATCAGGGTGACAGAGGGGAGAAGGGTAAACAGTGCCCTGTTATCATTTCACAAAGCCTCAGCTGTCAGCATTTAAGCACCACCATCTCTGCTACAGGCAGGTGGTCAGTACACGGGAGACCCTAACACAAATGAGGAAGGGGAGAATTCGTGATTAAAGTACGCTTGCTACAGGCAGGCACTGGGGATGCAGAGACAGACAGGACACAGTGTATGCCCTCAGACTCCAGCAGGAAATAACTCTGCAGTTGTGGATGGTGTGCTGCCCAGCACACGGTGGAAAATAGCTAAAAGGTCTGAGGAGGCTTCACAGAGGTTATCACTGAGCTGGATCCTGAAATGGGGACCAGAGTTCAACAAGTAGGTAAGAGAAGGGCATCCCAGCATAGGGAGCAGTGTGGGCAAAAGGAGTGAAAGAGAAGGTGGTAGGTTCTGATAAAGGCAAATGGTTGGGAGTGGTCACAGTATAAAAGGCAGATGTTATCAAGATTAGGAGGAGAGAGGGCAGAGTGGCAGATGAGATCTGAAAAAGTAAACTGATCCCTAGCAGCTGTATTCATGACAGCAAAGAAGTGGAAAACACCCAAATGTCCGTCAGCTGATGAATGAATAGATACACAAAATGTGGTACATCCACGCAACGGGATATTGCTCAGCAATTTTTTAAAAAGTGGTATGTGTGACAACAGGGTGAATCTTGAAAATATCACACTAAGTGAGAGAAGCCAGACAGAAAAGAGCACATATTGTACGATTCCATTTATATGAAATGTTCAGAACAGGCAAATCATAGTGATTGTCAGGACAGGCACAAGGAGGAAATGGGAGAGACTGTTAATAGGCACGTGGTCTCTCTTGGGGGTGTTGAAAATGTTCTAAAATTAGATTGTAGTGATGGTTACACAACGTTGTAAATATACTAAAAACCACTGACCTGTATACATTAAATCAAAATATCTTGTGTTATGTGAACTATAGCTCAGTAAAACTCTAAACAATATATTTTTAAAAAAACGATTACTGTAAACACACATACAAAAAGTGGATTGAGATCAGTCACAAAGGATGTTGAATGCAAAGTGGCAGTGCATGGCAGAAAGATCAATAGAAAAAGATTTCTTAAACTTCAGAGAAAATTAAAGAGCTAAAATTTACTGAGTTTTGGCCATGCAACTGCCAGGCCCCTGCTCGGCCTGTTGCATATATTGACTCATTTAATCCTCATCACAACCCCATGAGGTAAGTAATATTATCCCCACTTTACATATGATGAAACTGAGGCACAGAGAGCCTAACTTAATTCAGGCCAACCAGCTTTTTAGCGGCAGGGCCAGATCAGATATGGAAGTAGCCTAGCTCCAGGGTCCTTGCTCCTAACCACTGCCCTGTATTGGTCACGGACTATCAATGTCTGAAGGGACCATAAAGGACAGCCCAGTCCAAGCTCCACATTTTACAGGCGCCCAAAGATGAGATATAAACAGTCTACAGATTTTTCCAACACAGCTGCCCTAGGACCAGTCAGGTTAAGTTAGTGTGTTAGACAGGCAGGCAGAAGAAAATTGAGAGTGGTGTAGACTGTGGCCAACTTGAAAGTATACACACTACCTGAAAAATTAACACTCAGTTTCATAGGAGGTGGTGACAGCCAATACTAACACATCTGTGGGCTTCATTCTACTTAAAGGATACCAGTTTGCATACTCTGGGACTTTGCGCACCATCCAGGCATCCTGAGTCATATGAACAAAGCCTGGCTTAGACAGTTCTCATCATCAATGAAACACTGAAACTCTGGACCCCTAATAGCTTCATCTTAGATCTTGTTGAGTTGTAATAAGGAGCAGGTAGGCTCATTGTGGCCCAGAGCCACCCTCTGGAACTTAACAAGTTTTAGTCACACTGGGCCATGTTCCCAGGGGAGCTGCCGCTGGCGCAGGGTCTTTAAGCCACACCATGTGTGCTGCAGTTCTGGGCAGCACGATGGGGTGGGAGGTGGGAAGACAGCCCATGTTTATCACTGTAGATGGGGGGAAAACTGTCCTGGGGAGCAGAGCTTAGGATTGTTTAGTTTCGCCCTGGGGGTGGACTTGGAACCCAGGGAAAACTACAGGGGGACAGATCGCAGCATGCTGCAAGGAAGAGTATCAAGCTTGTAAAACTCTTACATGGAGTTCCTTCTGAAAGGCATTGATCAAGCAGGAATGGCCACCACTGGGAAGGGCTGTCATACAGGGGTTCAAAGCAGCCAGCCTGGGTGGCTTTAAGATGATTGTGTCTTTGATGCTTTGCCCTATGTCCTTTCTTCCAGCTGGTCATGCAGTATCTCTACTACGGTGGCCCAGAGTCGCTTCTCATTAAAAACAACGAGATAATGGAGGTAAGGAATCAGTTGTGTCACTGAGTGGGTGGCATGCATGGGCAGTGCCTTGTGGGGTTTTCATTTGGATGCAGGCTTTGGGGTCCTGCCTGCCTCCTTAGATCTCCTAGGGGCTTCTCATCAGAGCCCTTCCCTGGAAGGCTGGGGTGCTGGGTGCGCTAGTCCAAGCCCTTTTAATAGCAACTGAGTGAAACCCAGTTTTAACTGGCTTTGGGAGGGGTGGAGTAAAGGAAATCTACCAAAGAGTCTGAGGCCAGCGCTAGCTCCAAGCACAGCTGGGGCTCTAACAACATCATCAGGAACTATCCTTGATTTCTCCCTTGTCATTTGTAAGAGAAATGTATCATCTAAAAGCATCCCTCAAATCTCATCATGTCCACTGAGGCAGAAGCTGAGAGCCGGTTACAAAGCTCTCCCAGCTTCACTCAGATCCCTCATCCCTGCAGCTCTTTGGCCCTCCCCACCTCCTGTCTACCTCTCCTTACTCAGCCTGTTCTCCCCTCCCTGCTCTGTGGGCCTTGTTTCTGCTCTTGCCTATCCAAAGCCAAGATTGCCCCTCCTCCTTCCTAGAAGAGGAACCCTTGTGTCAAAGCTGGTAGCTTTGAACCAGAAGCCAAAATCACTCCAAAACTCCTTAGCAAAAGAACCAGAGCCCCGTTCACCCTGAAGTCCAGGGTGGCTGATGAGAGATGTCAGAACACTATCAGATATTCAAGAGGTGACCCCACACGGTGGTTCAAACATGGGCTCTGGGCCAGACTGGGTTTCAATCCAGGCCCTGACCCTTCTGAGCTCTGTGATCTTGGACAAGTAATTTAACTTCTCTGAGCCTCTGTTTCCCAACCTGTAGAATGGGGATAACAATATCATCTCACTGGGTTTTGAAGATCTTAAGAGTTTCTATTTGTAAGGTGCCGGCAGTGCCTGGCATGCAGTGAGGGCCACAGAGCCTAAGTGTTCACTGTGTCGTACTTTTCTCCTTACTCTGGGAAACGTTCTGTGGTCAAACACCCTCCCCAAAGTTACTCTCTTGTCTCTTCTCTGACACTTCACTACCTCAGGACCAGCCTACAGTCTGAGGACGCCATCTCTTTTGTAAACACTTTAAAAAATTATTTGCATGTCAAAATAACAACATACATTTCAATTATGTAAATAATACAGGAGGGCTTTATAATACATAAAAAAGCAGCTCATCCACCTCCCCCCTCCAAGTCCTTTCTCCAAAGGCAACCTGTTTGAACTCTTGCTTCAGCACTTTATTCCCCTCTCAAGAGCCTCTGTTGAGCATCTCCCACGGCCAGGTGCCTTGCTCAGGGCCAGGATACAGCAGTGATGCAAAGGAACAGAAATCCCTCCTCTCTTGGACTCTGGGGAGGGCAACAGGCATGGCATCATGTCTGGAGTGAGAATGGCTGTGAGGAAGGCTCAGACAGGGTAAGGGGGCCAGACGGTGAAGGAAGGAGACGACCTGAAGTGACATCTGTGTGGAAACCTGGCTGAACAGAGGGAGTGGACCCCATCAATATCCATCTTACTAAGTAAGAGTGTTCACCCCTATTTCTGGACATAACAATTGTAGGCATTTTTGCTTGACCCTCCTGCTATAATAGATGCAAAGTTGATTCACTTCAACCCCATCCCTCCCCTCTGCCACCTTCTTCCCCCAGTCGAGTTCTGCGGCTGGGTCTTAGTCCTCTAGTGTAACCTTCGTGCTTTCGGGTGACTAGCAGCACTTTATTCCCTGTGCTTTCACCTTGGGTACCACAGTGGGAGATGAGGGGTTTTCTCACCACTGCCATTGATTTCCTTCCACCTCCCAACCTCTAACAGGCTCTTTTTATGGTTTTTAGCTTCTGTCTGCAGCTAAGTTTTTCCAGCTGGAGGCTTTGCAGAGACACTGTGAAATTATCTGTGCAAAGAGCATCAATACAGACAACTGTGTGGATATTTACAACCACGCCAAGGTAATGAGTCCCATTCTCGCTGCCTGATTGATGTGGGAGAGGCTTTCTTTGCAGACACTCTGAGTTGGGGCAGAGGGAGGATGCTGGGCTTGCTACCCGTGCTCCTCCCAAGGTTGGCTTCCCTGCTCTAGAGGAGACATGTTTCCCTTCATCCACCCCTCCAAACACAACGAAAGCAGGAACCCAGAAGTTCCCAAAGCAGAGTTGCTCTGAACCCCAGCATGCATATGAATCATAGTGCAGACTCTGCTTCAGCAGCCTTGGAGTGGGCCCTGGTTCTGCGTTTCTAGCCAGCTTCTGGGTGAAGCCTCTGCAGCTGGTCTAGGCCGCCCCTTGAGTAGCAAGGTTCTGGAACAGTGGTTCTCCAAGTGTGGGCTCCAGTCCAGCAGCATCATCATCATCCAGGAGCCTGTCAGGAATGTATATTCTGGGCCCCACCCAGACCTAATGAATCAGAAACTCTGGGAGTGAGGCCCAGCCATCTGTGGCTTCAGAAGCCCTCCAAGTGATGCTGGTATTGTTCATGGGTGAGAACCGTTATTCTAGAACTGAGGTTCCCATCGCTGGCTTCATGGTTGGGTCACCTACACACTCACTTAAAATCCCTGTGCCTAGGACCTATCACAGACCAATTCATCAACCTCTGAGGGTGGAGCCTGCAAAAAGGTATTTTTCACAGCTTCCCGGGTGATCATCAGATGTGCCAAGGTTGAGACAGGCTGTCAGCACTAGAGAGGTTCAAGGAGCCCTCCTAGTCACGTGGACCCAATGCCTGACTACAAATCAGAATCACCAGGGGAGAGTTCCAAATCCCTGTTTCTCCCCTCACCCCCGCGATCTCTGTGGTGGAGCCCAGAAATCTGTATTTTTAGCAGGCTTCCAGGGTGACACTGTTGTGAATTTAGCTCTAAGGCCAGTCTTCACAAAATCTGTGAACCACCGGTTTCCTACAATTCATTTCACAAGTAGGGATACGGGGACCAAGAGAATTAAAATAATTTGTCCAGGTGCCACTTCATTTTCTTTCATGTGCTCAGGACAGAAGGATTAGCATTTGCTGGGAAGAAACAATGAAATAAGTTGACATCAGGAGTTCATTTAAAACAAACAAAGCACTCTTCTTTTGCATCACTGGAGCTCAGCACACATGCCTCCCACATCCATAGTCTGTAGAGGGACAACTGATGTGAATAATGTTCTTTCTGCTCGTTGTGAGAAAACAGGTTGCATTTGAGATATTTTCTGTCTTAAGCTGACATTCACTGAGCCCTTTCCATGTGCAGGCACCTGTGCTTAAAGCTTTGTTGTTTTACCTTTTTTAATCTTCACCGCAACCCTTTAATTAGTCCCATGTAATAGTAAGGAAACTGAGGCACAGAGAAGTGAAGTAATTTGCTTAATACAACTATTACTGAGTTTTTTTTTGTCATTGTAGTAAGATGTACATAACGTGAAACTTACCATTTTAACCATTTCTAAGTGTACACTTTAGTGGCATAAGTATATTCACATTGTTGTGCAACCATCAAGCACCATCCAACTCCGGAACTTTTCATCTTCCCAAACTGAAACTCTGTACCCGTTAAACACTAACTCCCCATACCCTCCTCCTTCCCAGCCCCTGGCAAGCACCATTCTATGTTCTGTCTCTATGAATTTGACTACTTTAGGTCTCTCATATGAGTGGAATCATATGGTATTTGTCTGGCTTATTTTTGTGGCTGGCTTATTTCACTTAGCACAGTGTCCTCAAGGTTCATCCATGTAGCATTTGTAGAATTTCATGTCTTTTTAAGGCTGAATAGTATTCCATTGTATGTACATACCACATTGTGTTTATCCATTCATCATCTATCAGTGAACACCTGCGTTGCTTCCACCTATTGGCTATTGTGAATAATGCTGCTGTGAACGGGGGTATGCAAATGTCTGTTCAACTCCCTGCTTTCAGTTCTTTGGGGTATCCACCTAGATTGGTCTCACTCCAAAGCACATCTTCTTAACCTTGTATTTACTGTCTGGCCTAACAAATGTCCAATGTTTGAAATATTTACAATAGTCCTGATACTCAAAAAAGATTTTCTGATTGGTCATCAGTAAATCAAAAGGTCCAGTCAGACTACTTCCTACCCACACACACTGGGTGTTTTGGTTAAATGAAAGTTTTACCAAAATCTGGTTTCTCGGGGCATAGAAAATTTGTTTTTTATTTTAAACTGATTATTTTTCGAAAAAGCATCCAGAGAAACTCTGTCTCTACCCAGGAGGAGGGCCTGGTTGGTCCTATGGTCCTCTGCCTCCTCCCCTGGCTGTGGACACTGAAAATGCCCTGTGAACCCCACGTCCAGGGGGGCTTTGCCAAGGCCTCTCTTCTTGGCAGCAAGACCCTCGTTGCACAGTCCCATTTTAATCCGTTTAGGCTCCTTGGCAGGCAGCTTCCATAGCTCCTTTGTTATCTAATAACGCATTCTGGGTGGGGAATACATTTGTGCTGCAGGCTTAGAACACCTATGGCAGAGAACCACCTCTGTCGCCAGAGCTTGGCCTTTTTCAGAAGCCAGCCTCTGCCTCGCCTCCCAGGCCACGTCCTGGAACGTTCCTAAGGTCAACGCCTGCCCTTCGTGATCCTTGCGTGGAGGACGGGGCCAGGCCAGCACCCCTTGCCCTTTCTATGCGTCGTTTCCTGGTGCTGTGGATACTGCAGCTCTGGCTAATGATAACCTGCCATGTGGATTCCATTACTGGCAGATTTTGCTGCAAATTGAATCTGGTTGAGTAAAAGAGAAAACAAAGAAACCAACACTCAGTTTGGAACTCCAGGAAGTGCAGGCATTTAGATACCAACAGCCAAGTTCCAAATGTCAACAAGTTCTTGGCAACATTCCCTCTGTTCTATACCTAACCATTGGAGACAGCCATGGAGTTTTATACAGAGAAGCCCAGCGCATAAATGCGCAGCTTAGTCATCTTCTTTTTTTTCCTAGCAAAGCTATCTCAAACTATTTGGGCATGAAGAAGAGGCCCTAGAGCTTCTGCCGCCCCATTCGGGGTATCTTTCAACTTGAGAAAAAGGACAAGCTGGCTCATCAAATTGAATCTAAGCTAATGCAATAAGTTCAACAGGGCACCATGATGGGAAGAACATGGGTCTGGAAACCAGGGGATCCGTTCCCTAGTGTTTATTGTGCACCCACTATTTACCAAGGAACTGTATATGCATCAGAATAAGAAATTAGTAAGACATGGTCTCTGCACTTGAAAAAATCATTGCCTAGGACAGAGGTCGGCAAATTTCTGTGAAGAGCCAAATAAATATTTTCACAGAGGCCATGAGGTCACTTCGAATCTACTCAACTCTGCCATTGTAGTGCAAAGGCAGCCAGAGGCAATATGCAAATGAATGGGTGTGGCTGTATCCCAATAAAACTTTGTTTGCAAAAACAGGTTGTGGGCCACATTTGGCCCAGAGGACTTTAGTTTGTCAACCATTGGTCTAGGAGATGAGAGTTCCAATGCCAGTTCTGTCAGTAACTAGCCATGTGGAGATAAGCAAGCATCTGATGTGTAGTCACCATTCAGTAAGTGCCACCACATGTAAATGTAAGTATTTATTGGGTTTATTCTCCACTTACACTAACTTGTGATGAGAGACATTTGTATACAAAGTATATGGTAAGGGAAGGGGGGCTCCCTGTGTCCAAGGACTCAGAGATAACTCTGAGCCTCAGTTTCCCCACGTGTACAATGAGGCCTTTTCTCTGTGACTCTGAAAGGAGGCTTCATGTTGAAAGAATGAAAGCATTCCTAAGAACTCTTCCAGCTCCAGGATACTGTGCATCTATGTGAACATTTGGGTGACAACAAACCTGCTAACTTGATAAATCATCAGGCTCTCAGAGACCACAGAATTTTCTGGTGTGTCTGTCCTAAGTACCTCTCATTTTGTAACTTGGGAAACCGAAGCCCACAGAAGTGATTTGACTTGCCCAAAGTTGCACATGGTTTTTATGAAGACAGGCCGTTGAGTCAGTGAATTAGCATGTGGTGTCAGCAAGTTCAAGGTTACAGACTTGGTCCTTCTACGGGCCAGGTAGCTGAACTAGGTTTCATAGATATAGTCAACTCCCCTTATCCCAACCTAGCCACCTACCTTAACCATATGTGTCACTGGATACAAATTAGTGAAATGAGAGTAATAATTATAAATAGTTTACATTTATCATGACAGCTAATGCTGAGTGAGTGCCAACTACAATCAACCATTGTTCTGAATGTCTCATGTATTATCTCATTTAATGCCAACAACAGCTTATTAGGTAGGTATTATTATCTTCCCCCATTTTATGGGTAGGAATACTGAGGCACACAGAGATTAAATAACTCGTCCAACAGCAGACTGCTGGAAGTGGTGAAGTCTGGAATAAAAGCTCAGACAGATTCCAGAGCCCCCCTCCCTTAGCTCCCTTCCTAACCTGCCTTCCCTAAGGGTGACAGATGACAAGAGTCCTGCTGTAAATTATGTTCCATTCAATCCCCTGACAGGTCTATGATGCAAGTGACATAATTCCCATTTGGAAAATGAGGAACCTAAAGCCAGAAGCCAAGTGACCCAGCCTTGGTCAAATATTCAGAAAAGTGTGGGAGTCCCAAATTGAATCCAAGGCTTCCGGTCATTCCACCATTTCCCTGTTGGCATAGCCTCATCGTAATTCCACCATTCCACATCTAACAGCTTAAAGCGCGTCTCTGGCTTAAAGAACAGAATATTAGGGAGTTCAGAAGGATAAATTCCACATTTGGATAATTTAGATAATTCAGCATCTAAATAAAGCAGCAGGACATCATCTCAGGGAGCACTTTAACTCCTGAGCATGCACTTCACTGCAATAGAGATTTACAAGCTTTGAAAATTGTAGAAAAGGTCTGAGTACAGACAGCCAACCCACATATCCACATTTGCTTCTGCATCTCAAACATGGATCCCTCCACCAAGCATGCTTCCGAGGCTAAATACCCATCTTCTGTTGAATGGTATCAGGCTGGAAGCCGTACATCCTAATAGTTAAACACACAGCCTTCAGGACTTGAGTTACCAAGGCTCACCTCCTGGCTCTGTCCTTGACATGTTGTGTGAATTTTTGTAAGCTACTCTCTTATTTCAATTTCCTTATCTGTAAATCGGAGGGGGTAATAGTACCTGCCTAAAGGAAATTTGAGGATTAAATGAGATGATGCACATGAAGTGTCCAGCACAGTGTCCAGCATATCATATACTGTCAATAAATGTTTGCTGTTGGCATCATTACTCTGAGAGTTAATTGTTCATTCATACATTCAACAAATATGTATTGAATGTCTACCACCTGCCAAGCCTTCTGCTTGGGCTTATAAAGTGAGCCTGCTCGGCATCATCCCTTCTGTATTGGTTTAGTCTGTCAGGAACCATGTCTCTAGATCAGTTTCTTAACCTTGGCAGTATTGACAACGTGAGCTGCATAAGTCTTTGCAGTGGGGGCTGTCCTCTGTGTTGTGGGATGTTAATGGCGTCCCTGGCTTCTACCCATTAGATGCCAGTGGTACGTACACCGCCCCAAGTTGTGACAACCAAAAATGTATCCAGACTTCCAGATGTCTCCTAAGAGGCAAAATCACCCCTGTTTGAGAACCACTGCCCTAAGTACAGGTGGTAGGTAGGCACTGCCCACTCATAGGGTGGTTGTGAGAATTAAGTAAGTTAATTAATACTTGTAAAGAGATTAGAACTGTGTCTGCAACTTCATTAGTTGTAGTGGAGCAAAGAGACACAAAACCCAGTATTAAAATAGTGAGTACTTGAGGGGAGGATATAGCTCAATGGTAGAGTGTGTGCTTAGCATGCACAATGTCGTGGGTTCAACCCCCAATACCTCCATTAAATAAACAAAAACCTAATTATCTCCCCCCCAAAAAAACAAAAACAAACAGAAATAGTGAGTGCTTATTTAGCACACGAGTCAGTGGCATGGCTGGGTTCTTCTGGTGTCAGCTGGCCTTGCTTCTGAGGTCAGCTCACCAGTCAGTTTGTGGTTGGCTTTGCTGATCCTGGCTGGGCTCTGTCACTGTCAACTCAGTTTCACGTGGTTGCTCATGCTGCAAGCAGTCTAGCTCAGGCTTGTGTTGAAGGCAGAGGCAGGATTCTGAGAGAAAGCACTGTAGTACACACTGCCACTTGAAGCCAGCTCAGAACTGGCAACTCTCGCTTCTACCATGTTCTGCTGGCCTGAACAACTCACAAAGCCAAACAGTGGAGAAATGGACTTAGCCCTTTGGTGGGAGGAGCTGCAGTCACACCCCCTGGGTGTGATACAGCAAAGAACACAGAATCAGAGCCACTGTTGCAGGCCATCTACCTTAGTAGGTGTTCGTCATTATCATATAGGAAAGCAGGTACATTTTGGAAACATAACCATCTCCTGCTTGTTCTCCACTCTCTGCAGTTTCTCGGAGTCACAGAGCTCTCAGCATATTGCGAAGGCTACTTTCTCAAAAACATGATGGTCCTCATCGAAAACGAAGCATTCAAGCAGCTCCTATATGACAAAAATGGCGAAGGGACGGGCCAGGATGTGCTCCAGGACTTACAGAGGACGTTGGCCATCAGGATTCAGTCAATTCACTTGTCATCTTCCAAAGGTTCTGTTGTATGAAACATCCAGTCCAGGGAATATTCCCCGGGGACTTGCCAGTTCTCCTGCTGCATTGGCTGTACACAAACTTACAAATTTCACCTGGAGTCTGTTTTTGGCTGTGCCAAGGAGCTGCCTCTACTGCCTCAGCTTCTCTTGAATAAGCAAATGCAGCTCCCATAAGCTCCTGTTGAGAAACAAAGGACATGCCACTGGCCAGCAGGTCAGATTGCAGCTGGGCCCAGAGCTACAAGGTCAACATGGGGTAGCCAGGCTGACCTCATCCCAAAGCACCCCTGGGGCAGTTGAACACCCATTGCCAGGGACTACTGTCCAATGGATGGACTGAGAGCTAAAGATCATTCGGGTTCCAGGTTGACAGCTGGAGAATTTAACTGTACCAGCCCTGAAAAGCATTATATTTATTACACATTAAGGATCTTAGTAGCTGCAGTTCAGTAAGAGTCAACAGTGATAGCGAATCAGTGAGACTGTTACCAATAGCGAAGACATAATTCGGCAAATTTTTAGGGGTGGGAACTTTTTAAAATGTTCATTAAAAAAAACCAAAAACAGGGCAGCCTTGTAGTTTAAAATATATTTCTAAAAGCTTACAGTTCATTTTCAACTGAATTATGTCTAGGGATCTGTGTTTTGAGATTTTTTTTTAAACAGTAAGTCACAGGTCTACTCTGTATAAACATGCATCTGACAAGATACTGCTGACATTCTACACAAGGTGAAATAGTGACCTTGCCTTAGTGATCATGGTTACACAAAAGAGGTGCACTGCCAATAATTATCTCTAACTCAGTAGTTGAAAACCTGCATGCTAATCATGGTTTCGGGGTGAAAATAAAATCCCCCCACATTAAAAAAAAAAACATGCATTTGCATGGGCCCGAACCTGTGAAATATTATGTTTGTGCTTCATTTTTGCCAAGGTCAAAAGGTACCATGACTTCTTGCTGAAAGCCCAATTAATGAAACTAACATATTCATTTCCTTTCCTAGTTACAAATGATTCTGGGATGCTTTTGCAGAAATGTGTTCATAGATGATACTGAATAGGGGTTGGAGGAGGGGCATGTCAGAGAATTTACTATTAGCCCAGAGTTTTCTCTGTATTCTCAGAAGATGTTAATAGTTTGTTACTAGCCAGAGAAGATGACTATGTTAGATTATTTTTAAAGATGAAACATGTATGATAGGATGGATTCTTTCTGTATTCTGAGAGTGTACAGTATAGGGTTATCTATAATGAAAGTTTATATCAACAGGATTCCGTTTGCTCTGCCATATATTATAAGCAAAAGAGATTAGTGAAGTGCCACAATATTCCAAATAATTTTTGAGTCGCTGCCTTTTTTTTTTCTTGTCCTTTCATTTGAAACCTAGATAACATGCAGTAAAACTAGGAGAATGACTTTTACCCTCTGGGATGGCAAAGTTTCGTTGATAAACGTATTTCCTAGCATGCCTTTGGGAACTTGTGCGCGGACCCTAGATTCTAAAGGAGCTGCTGTTCATCTGTTGTACTAGCTCCCTGAGCCATTGTACAGAGGACCAATGTCAAGTCCTGTTTCACGGGTATGACCCACGGAGGACCCTGGCCACGTCTGTCTAGCCACGTCTGTCTACAGTATTGGCTCTTCTGTGATGCTGATACACAAGGCCTCTCTTCCACTTGGTCATTTGCAAACCACCCCAATCCCTACCATCAAATGAGGAAAGGGAAAAAAAACTGCCTACAAGGAGCCCAAGTTACAGATACACAGCTCGTCGTGAGTCGTGGGTTGTCCCTGTCTCCTGCCTCCTTCTGTCCTCAGAGATGCTGCGTGGATGTTTCCTTCCCCGTGACTGACTTCCCTGTGAATGTCTAATGCTAGTTCAGGGCCTCTGGGCATTGATTTGTACAGCGGCAACTCCTGACGGGCTTCTGTTACGGTTTGGTGTGCTTTCTCTGTCATTAAAAAGTTGGTTTTCCCACGCTGCGCATTCTTTGTATGGTCCGAGTGAGCTCTTTACCCCACATCTGGAGCCTGAGAACGTCACTCAGTCAAGAGATTGGAAAATGTGACCCCAAGGGGAAAAAAATCAAGGGAGATGAAGTTGCCAGATAAAAGATAGGTGCTGTGTTGCTGGCACTTCCACTCTGTCAACTAGAACTTGGCTAACCAGGCTGTAGTCCCTTGGGTCTGCAGGCACCCTCTGGGTGCTGCCCTTGGGTTTCCTCCCTTTCAGGCAGAGGACTTAAGGTGTCGCCTGTAAGTGCCTCTAGCCCCCGGTAGCTAACTCACCCACAAAGGATGGAGTCCTTGATGAATCATTTGGCTGGGCAGGGGTAGGGGGATCCCAACCTGGTATGCCCCGCTCCAAAGGCCAGCATGAATGATGTTTGTGGTTGGTGGCAGCGTTCTGGGATTGCGGGTTAGGGTCGTGGAGGGACAAGCAGCTCTCCCCTGGGAGTGTCATCATCACTAAAGTCAAACCGAGTCCCCAGCTGGTCCCAACCCAGGTCCGGTGGAGATGAATATCCCTGGCTCATCCACAGAGGCCTACAGGAAGCCAGGGAGGGGCCCAGGCAGCCCCTGGAGCCCTGGGCCAGTGAGATGAGGTAAACAGCGGACAGCACAAGCACCTCCGGCAGGCTGATCAACCTTGCTTAGCAGTCGAGGTCTGTTTTTTCTTTAGGAAGCAACCCAAGCAACAGAGTGTCAGAGGCCAGAACTCTGAGTCAGGCCAGGAGAACAGAAGGTCAATGTATCTTTGGGGAGCATCACTCTCTGCGTAACCTTGGGGTGAGTAAGGCATTGGATGTGTTCATTCTGGGAAGATAGAGTGTGTCTGGGGTATCTGCCTTTTACTCCCAACAGATGGCTTTGTCATTCAGTCCTTAGTGACTGACTGTACAAGGGCCCCTTAGCATCTCGGAGAGGCAAGGGAGCCTGCCTGCCCCCCACAGAGCTCCCGTGTGCCCCTAATATTTGCAGTGAAAACCGGAAGGGGTGTATGCCTGCAGCCCCAGGAACAAACACGAAGGCCTCAACTTGGCTTCTGAGGCCCAACCACACCCATCCCCACATGTGGTTGATGTTACATAGACCATGTTTGAGTACCACCCATTCTCCCCTAGAGAAGGAGGATTCTCCACCCAAAATAGAGATGATGGTCTGAGCTCCCAAGCAGGAATTGGAACAAAGTGCAGTCAGGCCTCAAGTGGGCCTCTCCACCCCTGGGATTCTGTGATTTTTGTAGCTTCTGTTGTTTTTTCCCATGGAGCCCCAGGCAAAAAGTGTTACTCCAGCTGGGAGATGTTTCATCCACAGTTGTCTCATCAAGGCTATGGGAATACACAGCGTTTACTAACCTCGGGCCATGTGCTCTCAGTCCAGATAAAGGGTCAGGATCTTAGGCAATTGTTTGTGAAAAATCTCCTCTCTCACCATCCTGGACTCCCTGCCTTCAGAATCCTGAGCCCACCTCCCTGCACCCTCGCCTGCATCCACCAGCTTGAGTCACAATGAGTGGTTGGTCGCCCAGGTATTCACATACTAACTCTACCAACCCCAATTCCCTTGCCGGCCGGCCCCCACGCAGATACCCCCAACGACTAGCAGACCGTTTCCTGGGCTTGTCAGCTTCAGGGTTGGAGTCAGGGAGAAATTCACCGAGCACCCCCTGCCAGGCAACAGGCTCCAAGGCAGGCCTGAAACCACTTTCCCAGCCCCGATTCAGCACCGGACTCATTTTGAGACCTTGGACGTTACTACTCTGTCTAGTTTTCCTTTTCCTCTTTTGAGAAATTGGGTTTAAATATAGCTAGTTAACGTGGTTGTTGGGAGGGTTAGAGGAGATGTACGGGCCCCACATTTGTCGTAGCAGAGAAGAAGCGTTCCGAACGTCTAAGACTGAGTGAATAGGAGGCGAAGACAATGACTCACACAAGGAAAGGAAGGTCAGTGAGTTTGCCGTTCGTTTCTAGAACTTTCTACCACAGTAATTCCCATGGTGGTTTGTGAGTCTCTGGAGTTTTGCTGCTCTTCCAGGAGGTGGGGGAAATTCCCCCAAAGCAGTTCCATTGCCAGTCTCGTTCCTAGCGCGGTGCCTTACGCAAAGCTGGTGATCAGGACATGTTTAACTTAGTGGAAGCCAGGTTTCTAATTTCAACTGGATTTCCTGTCATATAAATACTAGAGTTCCTAATACTAGAGTTGCAGGGATCAGTTCCCCCAAACTCCTGAGCCACTCAAGATTGTGAGACCCTTGAGGCCCCAAAAATGACCCAGAGGGGAACAGACTCCCTGGAGCCAACTCTTGGTTCAGGGCTGCTGACCAAGGCTCTTTGGGGAGGAGGATGGAGTCATAAATTCCTGAATGAAGCAAACTTCTGGGTGTCAACTCCAGAAAAACACGAGATCTTCGTCCTCATCAAGTCAGCAGCTAAGCCCTTGCTGCCACTTGAACATGTGGACACTCGTCCCCTATCCCTCCACCAGGAAATCTCCCTGGTGAGATTTCGTGCCAGCCACCTTCCTCCCAGCTGGCCAGTGCCTTGAATAAAGCAGCACGTGCCTTTGGACAAAGCCATTACAGAAGCTGGTATGATGCCTATTTTTTCACCCTCTTTAAAAATAACCCAGCACATTTTAAACTTCCTGCTTCATAGGGAAAAAAAAATAGAACTCGAAATCAGCAATCACATTGCACATGAGTTCCCATTCCTGATGAGGCAGTCAGATAACGAGTGCCCTGCAAAAGGACACGTCTCCAAGTTTAGCTCCGAATATGAAAAGACAATCTGTCTGCGTGAATAGGCAATTAAAAGAGATGCCCTGGTGTCGCTGATGCGTTCTTTGGATGTTGCTTTCCAGAGTTAACCTTTGGATGAGTTCTGAATTTTAATGCCATTTCAAACCTCCGAGCCTGAGAGCTGCCAAGAGAAGAGGCAGGTGGTAAAATAGAGGGGCTCTGGGCCAGGCGCCAGATCTCACCTCTGGGCCCACTGCTGCCATTGGCTACTTGGGTGACCTTGGCAAGGCCTCTTCTCCATTCTGGACCTGTTTCCTCAGCTCTAAATGAGAGTCCTTCTGAGCTGATGTTCTGTCACCTGGACTGGCACATGCCACACACATCCTCTTACTACATTTATATATTATAAATATAGATAGATATTAGAATGGTGATGACACCATTTAGTGTGATAGAACATTCTGGATTTTATCCAGGAGGATTTAGGAAAAGGGATCTCAGTATATGACGATGTCTTCAGTAAAACAGGCGGGAAACCAAATAAAAGCCTATAACAAGGCTCCAAGAATATTTTATTATGAGGTTGCTTCTCACCAGATCATGGCCTCAGGACTGCCATCTCCTTTTGTTTTGGGGATTTTTTTCAGTGTTTTGTGTATATATATTTTTTATTGAAGTATAGTCAGTTTACAATGTTGTGTCAATTTCTGGTGTACAGCACAATGCTTCAGTCATACATAAACATATATATATTTGTTTCATATTGTTTTTTACCATAAGTTACTACAAGATATTGAATATAGTTCCCTGTACTACACAGGATGAACTTTTTGTTTATCTATCTTATATGTAGTAGTTAGTATCTGCAAATATCGACTCATTTTGTTTTTCATAATCAGATTCACAAAAAGTTGCAAAGACAGTGCAGAGAGGTCCTGTGTACCCTTCACCCAGTTTCCCCCAACAGTAACATCTAAAGTACCTCTATAGTATAGTATCATATCAGGAAATGGGCTTTGGCACAATGTGAGTTTGTAGCTCTATACCATTTTGTGACGTGTATAGGTTTGTTTAAGCACTGCCACAACCACTCCTCCATCACCACAAAGATCTCCCTCGTGCTACACCTTCGTGGTAACTCCTACCCGCTTCCTCCACATGCACCATCCCTAGCCCCTGGCAACCACTAACCTGTTTTCCATCTGTATAGTTTTGTCATTCTGAGCAGGTTATATAAATGGTACGTACAGTAAGTGGCTTTCTTCACTCAGTACAATCCCCTTGAGATCCATTGAGGATGTTGTGTATATCAAGAGTCTGTTCCTTTTTATGGCTGAGTAATACTCCCCCAGTGTCCCATCTCCTTTTACCAAAGGCTTGAGCATGTCAGGAAATATGGCAGTAAGACAGCTTGGCTCTGACAGCTGCCTCTCTGGTCATAGCTCCCAGGAAACAATTATGTCTCCTGAGAGCTGAACATGACTTCCTCATCCTGTAGCATCGAGGTGAGAATGTCCCCTAATGTCAGTCCAACAATTCAGTGCTGGTGATGGATCAGAGATCCATTGCCCTCACTGGGGCTAAATGGTCTTTCAGCCCTGCAGTAAGTTCCTTCTATAACTGACTGGCTTTTCCAAACACCTCACTCATGGTGTTGGGAAGTGCTTCTCAAACTTACTCTGTGTGCACATCACTGGGGACCTTGTTGACGTGCAGGTTCTGATTCAGTGGGGCTGCGTTGGGCTTGAGACTCAGCGTTTCAAATGAGCATCCAGGGTATGCTAATGCTTCTGGTCCAGGGACCACACTTGGCGTCACACAGGTATTGCTTATGGAGGTCAGCCATTCATCTCAAACCCATCCTGCTGCTGGACTAACCTGTGACTTCTGTCCTGTCATCTGGCCTGTCTGGAATTTCAACCTTGTGAATTATTGTGAACCTTTCTTTCTGACCCAAATCATGAAGACATTTTAGCAATACACCTGTGGAAATCATTTCAAATTATATTTTTCTAGGCAGTTCAAACAGTCTGAATTACGCCAAAGGAATTATTCGCCTAAGGTAGAACTCTGTGCTACCCTCACTTTTTCCAGGTCTGCTTTTGGTCTAAATCCTTTGTATTTACTTTCACAGGTGTTCACTGAAGGTGTAATAAAAGACCCACCTCTCTGCCATGGCATTACGCTCTCATCCTCTCCCCCTATTATTTCCCCCTTTTCCTTTAGGGCTGGCCGTAGAAGGAAAG